CAACAGCCCCCCACAACACCCTCCTCCCAACACCCCACACAACACCCCCCACACAACAGGCGTGCACACGTCGGGCTCCCCCCACTCACCAGTGTCCGACTCTAAGAGGCCACCTGGGGATGGAGATGCCAGTCTGGTGAGACCTCAGGGGAGGGATGGGGTCAGGGAAGGTGACGGGGGCAGGAGGACAGGGCCCAGGCAGGGGAAGTACCACTCACCAGAGAAGAGGAGGATCCCCAGGCCCAGCAGGACCAGGGCCCCCAGGAGGCACATGTTGAGGGAGAGGCCCAGCTCCCCGCCCGCACTCTCGCCCCTGGCCTGGTCCTCCACGTCCAGCGGCGTCCCGGGCCGGAGCGGGCTGGGCTTCCGGCCCCGTCGCCTCCGCAGGCCCTCGACGTCCACATCCGTGTCGTCCTCACTGCTGGAGCAGCGGCCCTCCGCCCTGACCCAAACTGGAAGAAGGGACAGGGACAGGGCCGTGAGGGAACTGGAGAGACAGGACACGGGGACAGAGGGCAAGTGGCGGGTGGCCCAGAGAGGACATCTGAAAACCCTGCCCCCTTGTGCCCAGGCGTCCCCGACAGCGCCTGCCCAGTGTGGAGGCAGGAGACCTGTCAATCTACAGATGAAAAGAGCCACTTCCCTCTTAAACGCATCCTGCATCCTCCTTCCTCCAACGGTGGCTCACTTCCAGCTTCTGCGGCAGCCACCAGCCTCCCTTGACACTCTGCCCCTACAGCCTGCCCCCTGGGCTCTTCAGTCCTGTGGGTGGGGGTCTCCCTGGTCCTTCTCTGGTCCCCCAGGCACATGCCCAAACTCATTCCCCTCACTTCCCCTGAGGGGAACGAGTGTCCAACCCGCGGCCCCACCGTGGCCGCCCCAGAGCTCTGGCCCCTGGCCTCTGGTTGTCCTTCAGGAACCAATCATTCAACACACTGCCTCCAAACTGGTTCCTTCTGGTGTCCCCCAACTCGGGGGATGGCCATGTTGCCGCTCATCCAGCTGAGCGAAGGTCTGAGGTCCAGCCTCTTCACGCCCCACTGCCCCAGCTCGGGTCTTGCTACCCACTGCAAGCTGCCCCCAGATGTAGCCGGGCCCCAGCTTCTCCCCCTTCCATCACGTTTTGTTGTTGTTTTGTGGTTTTGTTTTTTGCGGTCTTGGGGTCGGAGCCACAGCGCCAGCACCTTCTATTTTGAGACAGGATCTTGCTGAGTCACTGAGGCTGGTCTCGAACTCACACCCCTCCTGCCTGTCTCCTGAGTAGCTGGGATTAAAGGGGTGTGCTGCTGCACCCTCCTGTTCAACAGAGAAGGACTCCTCACCCCCCCCCCCCGTCTCAGTCCTGGACACAGCCTCCTGCACACCAGAAAGGTGGTCCCACCCCGTGTGAACGCTTCAGCCTGGGCCTGGAATGTTCTCTTCCTCCTGCCCTCAGTTGGACTCCAGGTTCCAACCCCTCCCAAACGGCATCTCCACCCATCCTGACTCTCCCTTGCCCTCCACACGAGCCCTGTCTGAACCATCTCCAGTTCTTTGGGAGCCCCTTTAGTTGAACCTCCTTTCTGCACCCCTCGAGGTCTGACTTGCAGCTTGGCTCCGTCTGGCCTGCTTCTTACACCATCCCTGAGCCACCCTCCTTCCCTCCTCCTGGGCTGGGAGCTGGCACAAGAGGGGACTCTGGAAATGAGGGCTGAGTTCCAGAAACAAGAAAAGAGGGGGTTCCATGGCACAGAGGAAAGAGTCAACCAGAAGTGAGCCCCGAGGTGTGACCTCGGTCAAGTCACTTGACCTCTCTGAGCCTCGATGGTAGAGAGCTGCTGAGTCCCAGGCCCGGAGCTGAGCACCTGCTCAGCAGCGAGGACTGCTCCCTCTCCTGAACCTTCTAGAAGAAGAGCAAAGGGGCTCTCACCTGCTTTGGGGGTCGTGGACAGGCTCTGCAGAGGGCCCTGGTCGCCCAGGTCCTGTGTGTCTGGTCCTGGGCTTGTGTCGGGAGTCTCCTGCGGGTCTTCCTGAACTGCCGCGTCTCCTGGGCCAGGAGGCTCCACATCACAGTCACCGCCTCCCAGAGGACCCTGAGGGGACACAGCCCTGAGCAGAGCCCACAGCGCCTGCCCACGTCCCCGCCCACTTCCTCCCTGACCCCAGTGGGGTCCTCACCTTGACCTCAGGCTCCCCTGGCAGAAGGCGGTCACACTGAGGACTTTCCGTCTCAAACAGGGTCCCTGTGGGGGAGAAAGGGCCACTTCCCCAGCTGAGCTTCCCAGTCACCTATCCGGCTCCCACCCACCCTCCCCAGGTGGAGGGGCAGGAAAGAGCCGGGCGGGACCCGGGCGAGGGGTCTACCAACTGAGAGCAGACCCCCAGGACGGGAGGACAGCCACCGGGCCCTGCTCGGGACACTACCTTCTCCACCCTCAGCTACAGGCGACTCGTCACCGTCACCGTCGGCCTTCGGTGGGCTCCCAGGGGCCGGGAGGGCCCTCTCGGACTCAGGGTCCACCCTGGGTTCTGGGCCCAGAGTCTCCACAGGAAGGCTCTAGGGAGGAGAGGGGCGCGCACGGGGCTGCAGCAGGACGCCGTCAGGCGCAGGGGACCCCAAACCACATCTCAGACCCTCAGCTGAGAGCTGACCCAAGGGCTCTCCGCCCAGTCCCTCTCCACCCTCGTTCCAGAGGCCACGCTCCTGTTAAAACTAGCAGCACTGCTGCAGGAGGCAGGGACCCTGCACAGCCGGCAGCCCCTGGGGAAGGCCAGCCCGGGGCCCTCCCCCACATCAACAGGGCGACTCAGTTATTAGCTGGGGTAGGAACAAAGTCCTCACTGACTGCCCCTGGTGCCTAAAGGTCAGTGACGATCCCAGGTCTCCTCACACCTGCCCAACCACTTTTCTTCCTCGCTGTCCTGGCCTTTCCCATTAGCCCACGGCTCCCACACAGGCCCAGTCTCCCGCAGGTGCTGACACAGACGCCCCGTCCCCGGTCACAGCCAGCCTGACTCCCTGGGTACCCACAGCCTCTCCTCCCTCTGGCCCACTGCGTGCCCACCCCACCCATGGCTCCTGCTACCACCCCAAGGATAATTCTTTTTTTTTTTTTTTTCTTTTTAAGTTTTATTGGTACCAGGGAGGGAACCCAGGGGTGCTGAACCACTGAGCCACATTTAAGGTCTCATTTAAGGTTTTGCTTAGGGCCTCACTAAGTGGCTGAGGCTGACTTTGAACTTGCCACCCTCCTGCCTCAGCCTCCTGAGCTGCTGGGATGACAGGCGTGGGCCGAGAATAATTCTTGACCTTGGTCTGTTTCTTTGCAATTTTCAGATCATGTTTGACTCATAGTCACCTCATAAGGCTACAAGGCAAGAATCACAATCCTCATTTTTTAAGGGAGGACAGAGAGGGGACATGGCCTGCCCGGGGTGCAACAGTCAGCAATGATAACCCCACCCCAGGCCAGGGCTGATTGAGACCGCAGTGCCTGTCCTTCCCTAAACTGCCGCACCTCTGCCTGTGAGCCCTTGGCCTGTGTATCCTGCTCAGTGCCATTGCTGACGCCAACTCCTCCCTCCCAACAGGGCTCCTCCCAGCACCTCAAACTCAGTAAGTCGAAGCCAAGCTCCTCTCCCGCTTAGTGCTCCCCTCTTAGTGATTCTCACACATAAGGTGCCAAGGCTGGGAATTCTCCAGATCCTTTGTTGGTTTTGTTTCACAGTATTTGGGAGTGAATCCAGGGGCACTCTACCGAGTTACATCCCCAGCCCTTTTTATTATTTTAAGACACAGTCTCACTAAGTTGCCCAGGCTGGCCTCAAACTTTTGATCCTCCTGCCTCAGACTCCCACATTGATAGGATTACAGGCATGTTCCAACATGCCTGGCTCCGCATCCCTCTGACATCCTGTTTCCACCCCGTCTCCAGGCACTAATCCCCATCCTGCATCCCCTTTCTCCCTTCTCAGTGGTTCTAGGAGCACAGGGGTCCCAGGGGCTTCTATACCACCAGCTGTTATCTGGATGGCTACAGAAGCCCTCGTCCCTGGCTGGGTGCAGTGGAGTGGCACATATCTACAACCCCAGCTACTTAGGAGGCTGAGGCAGAGGACTGCAAGTTTGAGGCCTTCCTGGGTAACTTAGTGATCCCCTGTGCAAAAATGAAAATTAAAAAGGACTAGAAGTATAGCCCAGCGGTACAGCATCCCCGGGGTTAAATCCCCGGTACCAAAAGGAAACCAAAACAAAACCCCACTCTACTGTCCCACTGTCCCTGTTCTCACGCAGCCCACACAGTGGCTTCAATATCTGCCCAAAGCAATGAATGCTGGACACCCCCAGTCAAAGTCCTCCCTGACTGCCCATCAGGAGGAGGCTGGACTGCCTCACCAGGCCCTCTGGACCTCTTACAGGGTTCCCAGGCTCTACCCCAGCTTCATTTCCACCCCATCCAATGGCACCCCCGGTTCACCTGCACACGGCTCTCGGGCCTTTGCTCTTGCTGTTCTCCCTGCTCTTCTCAGCTCACCCAGCTGGTACCCTTCCTCCAGGTACAGTGAAAGCCAGCACCTGACCCTGGAGCCAGAGCTCCCTCTCCCTCCCCAGAGTTCCTCCAAGGCCAGCAAGAGGTGATACAGGTGACCACCAGGATCGAGGAAGGGGACACCCAGAAAGCAGCCCACCCCTTCAGCGTCCCCTCCCGCGTGGTCCCCAAGTCTGTTCTTCCTACCTCTGAGCCAGCAAGCACCCAGCTGTTATCCACATCTGGGCAGGTGGCCATAGTGGTGAGGTCTCTGCGGCTGCTGGGGCTGCCACCTGCAGAGAAAACCTCTTTTAAGGACCAGTTTCCTTCAGGAGCGGCAGGATGCAGAAAGCAGTCTTTTTTTTTCTTTTAATATTCATGTTTTAGCTGTAGTTGGACACATTAGCTTTATTTATTTGTCCTTATGTGGTGCTGAGGAGCAAACCCAGGGCCTCACACATGCCAGGCGAGTGCTCGACCGCTGAGCCCCGGCCACAGCCCCAGAAAGCAGCCTTGACAGGGTCCCAAGGATGAGGACTGGTCACCAGCCTCAGAGCCAGGCCAGTTCCAGGCCTTCGGATCCTGACACCTCAGCTCTTTGGGGCAGAATCTGCCTTGCAAATCCACACCTGCCCAAGTCAGAGAGAAGCTGCCTCCTCCAAGGACCCCCAGGGCCTTGGGAACCCGAACTGACCTTGAAAGGTCAAAGAATCCAGGGCTGGGAAGACCCAGGTGAACAGAGTCCAACTCCCTGAGGTCACACTCAGGGAAGAGGAAGTTTGGAAAGGTCAACTGACTTGCCTTGCCAAAGACCAACAGGTAATAAGAATGAGGACAACTTCCAACACCAGACACCTCCACACCTCCACAGTCACCACCCCCTCGGCAGGGCCTCCTCTGCTTACATCTCCCACCACCCACCCGCTGTGGGAACTCAAGGGCTCTGGACACCACTCACACACTAGCTCACTCTGATTCAGAGTGGGGGGGTGGGCCAGGCCCGGTTTGTTTGTTTTTAAACCTCTCAGAGGATTCTCACTTGCAGCCAAGGTTAAGAAGCACTGGCCCACCTCAGATCCACCTGGAGGAAGCACTTTTAGTCCAGCTCCATGCTCACTCTCCATCCTGAGTTCTGCCCCCCTTACTAGTTAGCGGCAGGGTCTGGTCTTAGGAAACTTGAAAGGTGACTGAGAAAAAGGGGCTGTGGCAACTACCATGTATAAAGCACTTTACAGTTTGCAAAACATAGGCAAGGGCTGGGGTTGTGGCTGGGGTTGTAGGGTGCTTGCCTAGCATGTGTGAGGCACTGCATAAAAATAAATAAAGTTAAAAAAAAAATAGGCAAAAGTCAGGACTGTGGCCCTGTCCTCCGCTAATCTGCTCTGACTTGGCAGAGTGGGGGCTAGCACATTATTCCAGCCTCCAAAGCCAAGCGTAAAACAGGGTCACAAGGGAGGGACCTTAGCCAGGTGTAGGAGTGCACAGCTGTAATCCCAGCAACTCAGGAGGCTGAGGTAGAAGAATCACAACTTTGAGGCCAGCCTCTGTAACTTAGTGAGACCCTGTCTCAAAATAAAAAATAAATAAAAAGGGCCAGGGATATAGCTCAGTAGTCAAGTGCCCCTGGGTACAGTCCCTAGTACAGCCAAAAAAAAAAAAAAAAGAAAGAAAGAGGAGGAGAGGGAACGCCTTCATCCAAGTCCAACCCTGTGCCCTCGGGCGGGCTGCAACTGGGACCAGGCCTAAGGGTGAAGCGAAAGTTAAGCTGACCCCTCAGAGTCCTGGGCTGAGCTCCTTCAGAGGTAGATGAATGGGTGCTTCCCCAGGGGTGGGAAGGGCAGTAAACAAATAGGACTGTAAGGAAACACCGGGGAAAAGTGAGGCCAGCGGTGTCTGTAGTTCTGCCCTCAAACCCAGCGACTGCCCCATCTGTGGAGCTCGAAGTAAGCCCTGGCCAGTGTCCTGGTGACTTTGCCAGTCATGCTGCAAGTTCAGGATGGGGGAAGGACACCCACCCCTTCCCACATGGAGGCCAGAGCCAACAGGTCACCGGGGCATGGCTTTATGGCCATCTGTAGAGCCATAGCTGTTCAGCCTCGTGCTCAGTCCCTCCCCCACTGTTCTGTCATCTCTCCATCTCCAGTTGCTGCGTGTGACTGTTAACAGGTGGTGGCAGGAAGGAAGTGGCAGCAGCTTGGGCTGAAGTCCCTGTTTATCCCTGGCTGTGTACAGCCTGCTCAGGTCCTCCAGAACTAGGCACCATGGCAACCAGGGTGATGTCAGACCCACTGTCTCCATGGAAACCAGCAACGGGTATTTGGGTCAACAAGACAAACAAGAAGTCTGGAACTCCTGCACTCAGGGTCCCAAACCCTGACAGACCTCTCTCTTGCCTGTGTTCGCTCAAGATTCCAAAAGATACCCCTGTTCTCCCAGGCCAGCATCTCACTGCCTTATTAGGAAGTTCCTTCTGCTCTCTCATCTCCACCCTTTCTTGCTGCGTTTTCAGAGTTTTTCTTCTCAGTCCTCTCTGAAGAAAATCCACTCCCTCCCCACTATCCCCTTTCAGGAGGGATTCAATAAGAATCTCCTGTAAGAATTGTCACAAACTTCTGCTTTTATAAGAAAAAAGCCAAAGCGGGGGGCTCTCCCACTCTGTACAAAGCTAGCAAATCTTGCCTCAGGCTAACTTTCAACCCAAGAGTTGTCCCCCAAACCTCTAAGCAAAGGACCTAGGGCCAGTTCCTCTTTTGAAAATGACCTTCCCCTGCCTTCCCCCAGTTCTAGGTTTTCGAAAGGCAGCTCTGTGGGTCCTCGGTGGTGCCCAGTCCTTCTAGAGCTCTACCCTCTTTTCCTTAGCTCCCATCTCCCGGGGCCCTTCCCCGCTGGAGCATTACCTGACCCAGCTCTGGCTTCGGGCTTCAGCTTAACTTGTTTCCCCAGGTTTCCAGCCCAGGGGAAGAGGGGAGGCACGTGACCCGGGGACGGGCCAATGGAGAATCGACTTCCCCAAGGGGGCGGAAACTTTTGGCCAATAAGAATTGAAATGGGAGTCGGGGAGGCCAGAGATCTCCCAGGCCCCCAACCTGGGATTGACCTCCTGACGGGCGAGCGAGGGCTCCCCAAAGGGAATTTTGCGTGGCCTTCCCCTCTTTCCTCGTGCCTAAAATTTCTGGAGGAAAGAGCCAAAACTGAAAGGTAAAGGGTGTTGTTCCCGAGATGACAAGGACAAGAAGCCAGGTTGGCCCAGGATAGACAGAGACAGCTGTAGGATGGGGGAAGGGAGAGGGAAGGGTGGCAGACAGCCCTCCTGCCACTCTTCCCACCGGCTCCAGCCACTGCTACTTTAAAAGCGGGTGGGGTCTGAAAAACATCCAAAAATGAAATCTGCTAGGATGTTGTGGGGCTCCCCCTCCCTCCCCCCACCCCGCGGGGGTAACGGGGCACTGACCACTGAACCACACCCCCAGCCCTATTTTGTGTTTAGGAGACAGGGACTCACTCACTGAATAGCTTAGTACCTTGCTGTTACTGAGGCTGGCTTTGAACTGGCGGTCCTCCTGCCTCAGCCTCCCGAGCTGATGGGATGATAGGATGGGGGGGCCCCCTCACTCCGAAAGCTACCCTTCACCCCAACACAAACGACTGAGAGGTGGAGAGGATGAGCCCTAAACCTAGAAGAGTTCAAGCGCTTGTGTCCCAGAGATCTTGGAGCCAACTGTCCTGCCTGGCTCCAGGCCCGGGCCAGGAATGTGCTCAGAAAGGAAAATGGGTTTCTCAGAGCAGGAACATGGGGAGGGGTGTGTCAACGCAAGGCCTCCTTGACTCAGCAGCTTGAAGCAGTGGATCCAAGGGGTTGGATCTTCCCGCCATTCCCACTTCCAGGGGCCCTGGGAAGTAAACATCTCCACCCACACCACCCCCTTACAAGTAGTGACAGTGGTTTCAACCTGCCCTTTTGCAGATAAACAACAATGTGTCCTTGCCTGGATTTTAAAGTCATTTTATTAACCCAACCGTACAAAAAAACCCCACGACCACATCTCTGCCACTCCACTTTCTTCCAAAAAGTAGTGACGTCTACACTCCCCAGGAGTGGTTTACAGCTGTGGAGAGGGAGGCATACAAAAGTAGCAACAGGGGAGAAGCAAACAGAACCACAAACACAACACAAAGCTGGGGTGCCACCTCCACTGTTTCGGTGTGGGGAACACCAGCTTAGAGAAGCCCGAGGCCCACCCTCTTCCTCATAGCTGCAAAGGCTGTGGGCTCCACCAGGCAGTATCTTCCCTCCAGGTGCAGGGAGCAGAGAGAAGTGGGAGTAGGGACCAGAAGGTAGCCTTTGCCACCACACCCCGAGGGCTAGAGACCACAGACCACACTCCCTTCCCCGCCCTTTTGAGGAATGCACACAGGAGCTGTTAAGGAACAAAAGCAGCCAAGAGGGGCTCCTGACCACGCCCCAAGATCAGGGCTGGCAGGCAGTGCTTTAAAAAGAAAACAAAAACAAGCCCAGTGCAGGACTTTTGGCTGAGACTAGTGAGGACTGCTAGATCACCAGGCCCAAGATGATACCTAATAGCAGGAAAGAGAGAAGCAAAAATTTCCAGGCTCTCCTTCCTTTTAGTACCGTGGCATTGAGAATCCTGCTGACTCCTCCTACCCCCAAGGCTGTGACAGGGCCTCACTAGGATGCTCCTATCCGGGAGGAAATGAGGTATAAGGTCTTGGTACCTTTCCAAGCTTTCCTCCAACCAAACCAGGGAGGCAGGGGTATGAGGGCACAAAAAGCTGAAGAACAGCACTGGGCTCAATGTGCAACAGAGGGTGGGCCAGGGGTGCCAACAGAGTCCAGACTCCAGGACAACCCAGACTTCAATTATTCTGGTCCCTCAGACCACGTGTCCCAATTTTTTTTTTTTTAATTTTTGGCAAAAATATGGTCATTAAGAGAAAAGCATGGGAAGCTGAGACCAGTGACTTTGGTATGAGGAAGATATGTCCTGACAGCACCTCTTACCTACTGTCATGAAGCCCCAAATCACCAAGAAACTGCCCTAGCTGGGAACGAGATTCAAGCTGTTGGTGCTGAGGGAGGAGGAGCTGGACAGGTCTGAGAGAGGCAAAGGGGAAGGTAGAAAAAAGGAGGAATCCCCATTTATTCCCTAAAGAGGTCTCCCAGAGCCCATGAAATGGCTGTGGCAGGGATGGGAAGAGACCGGCTCCTCAAGCCAGAAACCTTCAATGCTCCACTCCAAAAACTAAGGCTAGAGCTGTGGGGCGAAACAGGGGTGTCAGGCACAGGTGTTAGTTATCCATCATAGGCAGACAGGACACTCTTGCCCTCCTGAATTTCCTGTCCCCTTTTCTCTTGCAGTCACATCCCTAGGCTTCCTAATAGCCACAAGAAAAGCTGGCTCCGCTCAGCAGGGCTTTGGTTTCCTGGATCTCCGTAGATCTTGATGTGTTGTTTCCAGAAAAGTGAGCAACCCAGGCTCTTCTGCCCCCAGGAACCATCAGGTTTCTGCTCCGTGAGGATGGGGAACCAGCGGACACGAGGGCCAGGAGCCAGACAATCACCCTGGAGGAGCAGGAAGGGACATGTGCACTTCCCTGGGACCACCTCGCCAGTGTCACCCATCATTAGCGGCCACCAGCTGCCCCATGCCCTCGCGGATGTAGACAGACTGGATCTCCTTGGTCTTGAGGCAGAGATCACAGGCCCAGACAGCAGAGGCCTCGGTGGTCAGCAGCCCATAGGCGCTCTCAGTCATGCCTGTGCACTCGCGATGGAACCACTTCTGGCAGGAGGCCTCACACAAGATAGCATCCTGGTCGTCATTCACCTCGCTCCGACAGGCACCACATGGGTACACCAGGCCTGGGGGAGGCTGGGGCCCTGAACCCCCACCTGCCTTGCCAGGGGGTGCTAGGCTGTTGGCATCCGGAGTGCCGCCACCCCGCCCACTGCTGTTTGGGGGGAAACTGGGCTGATTCCCATTAACAGCAGCAGCTGGCGAGCCCGAGTGGGGCTCCTGGGGAAAAGCAGTGGGAGCAGGTGGATTCAAGGGCTTCCCCCCATCCTCACCACCAGGGCCAGGAAAGCCAGGGTCTGGACCAGGGAAGGGACTTGTATTGGGGGGCAGGCTGGGGAGCCCCTGACCAGGTCTCTGTAGAGGAGAAGGGCCAAAAGGCACACCTGGCTGAGCAAAACGCTGGGGGAGAGAAGGAGGGCCCAGCTCCCCTCTGGGAGGCTGTCCCATGGTGGGTGAGATCATGGTGCCAAATCCCCCCACTGGCATCATCTGCCCACCTGGAGGGCTAAAGTTTTGACCCAGAGGCTGGCTGAAGGGTTGACTGGGAAAGTTCATGTTGCCTGGGGGTGGGTAGCCAGGGCCCTGGGGGGGCATGTTGAAAGCAGGTCCCATAGGATTAGGAGGAAAAGGGGGGGGTTGTCGGCGAAGTGTCTGGGGACCCCCTCCACCCCCAGTGCCATAGCCTGGGGGTACCTGGCCTGCCATGCCCCCTTGTACACGGAAGCTTCCAAAGGGCACAGGACTGCCGAGGAATGGAGGGGCTGCGCCCCCCACCTTAGGGGCTCCGAAGTCATCCTCAAAAGGGTTGGATGCAACCAGATGATCCACCATGGGAGTCGGGGGTGGTGCAAACTCCGTCAGATGTGAGTAAGCAGGACCCTAGTGGAGAACAGATGAGGAAGAGGGTCATGAAGGGACACACAGAGATAAACCAGGAGAGTCCTACCAACAAACAGAACACACACTTTGGAGATTGATACTGACCAGCTCAGGTCTAAAATAAAGATGCGTCTTAGCATGCAACTGAAAAACACAGGGTGGTGAGCAGAGCCATCACAGCACCGTGACTGCTTTGAAAGAGAGCAGAAATCCCAGCTTTGGCCCTGAAGTAGGTATTTAACTTTTTTTAAGCCTCAGATTTCTTATCTGTAAAAAAAAAAAGACAATGCCTACCTCCCCAAACAAAAAAATGTACTTCAGCACAATCCTGGCATTTAGAAAAGACTGATAGTGATGGAATTTATGTTATCATCATCCAGGACAGGAAAAATGAGGGAGAGGAAGGTTGTGACCCTGTCCAATAAGACCTTTGATCAAATCATTCTTGGGGGAGAATATTTCCCATGGAGTTTATTATAAGGTTGAGAGAAAGGACTAGAAACAGAACAAGACAGTTTTCTCTTCTCCCTGCACCTAACAGAAGACCAAACATGGAAACAGAATAGACACAGCACCCCAGGGGTTGCTGAAATTACCCACCAACAATGGTAATTCACCTGAGTATTTGACTTTCTTCGCTTCTTTTCTGGGCTCTTCATTTGCAGACCTGGAAGAGCAGCAAAAGAAGAGGCAAGCAAGTTTCCCTAAGGTTTTTCAAACTTTCTTCCTCCCAGGAACTGCTCTAATGTTAATTCAGCATATACTCGTTTATTTTAGCAAATATCAATGAGGAGTCATACGAAAAATGAATTCTATGACCATACTCTTGAAAGACATGCCAGGTCTTGATATCACCCTACTCCAAGACTCCTGATATCCCACGTGGCTCCAAACCCCAAAGTACATCCCCGACACCTGCCCCCATCCCCGGAGGGCTAAACCCGCTGATCCTCTGACCAGAGCCTCCCAGCAGGCCCCGAGGCCCGAGGCCCACCCACCACCACTGACCCTCCCGGCCCTGAGTATTTGGTCCGGGCCTCCCGACCTCCGCCCCCTCAGCGCTCTCACCGGCCTTGCCCTGCTTCCTCCCGGTGCTGGGCGGCGCAGGGGGCGGTGCGGGGCCGCCACCTCCCTCCAGCTTGTCCGGTGGGGGCGGCGCCGAGGCGGCCATGGAGTGGGGGACTGGGGTCAGCGGCGGAGGGGGGCGGAGGCGCCCTCAGGCTGCACCATCGCCGGGAAGGGGCCTCGGACAGCGCTGGCCCCCGAGCTGCAGCAAGCCGAAGACGCGGCAAGGGAGAAGCGCCTTCCCAGAGCGCAAACTGCGCGCTCGCTCCAGATTCACCGCTCGCCGCCGGCGGCAGCAACCGGAACCGGAACTTGCCTCGGCCGCCACCACCTTGCGCGGCGGGGGGGGAGCACTGACTGGCCGGGACCTTCCGCCCGGGAGCCCCGGCGGGAGGAGGTCGTACGCGCCACGACTCTAGCAGAGGGCGCTTTCCGTCGGAGGAGCAGCCCAGGCCAGCTCGCCCAGGGCCGGCAGCGCTCCTCGCCTGCCCCTGCTGCCGGGCCATACCATCCGGGCGGGGGCCGCCGAGGAGCACGGGCCGGCCCGGCCTCGGGGAGGCAGCGGAGGCGTCCGTCCGGCTGCCGCTCGCCGCGGCCGGCCCTGCGGGCACCCGCACCCTCCGCAGACACACCCCCGGCCGGCCGGCCGCGCCTCCCCGCCTGTCAACGCGGCAGAGCCCCGGCTTCCTGCACGCGGGCGTCGGACCGAGCACGGCCCGGCGAGGCCAGGTGGGGCTGCCCGCGACCCCGCGCCGCCCAGGCACCGCGGCAGACAATAGGCCTTCCGAGGCCGCAGACGCCGAGGTAGAAGAAATACGGACTTTAATGAAGACTTTCCCTTTGGTATAACTGAGACCCGTGGAAACATCCAAACAAAAAGAGGCGGCGGCCAGAATTTAACAGTGATCCTCCCGGATCCCCACGGCCTGGAGAGCCCGCAGGGCCGGCTTCCGTCCGTCTCTCCAGGTCGCGCCTAGAAGGTGCTCCACACCTGGAGGTTTTAAGCTACCGCTTCGTGACATTGTACCAATACTCAGCCACACTTCCCAGCCTCACGGTAAGGGACCCAAACTCAGTCCCAGGACTAAATCAGTTTCTGCTGCAGGTCTTACATTTAAAAAAAAAAAAAAATGCTCCCAGTCCTAGTTACCTCTGAGAAAAATGCCAATTGTAAAAGGACTTGGAAAAGTCAAAGAGGTGATATATAAATGTAATCGATTATCATCATTTTGTGCTCAAAAGCCATGGAAATCAAGATTAGGAAAATAAATCTACAGCCCTAAAGTATATGCATATAAAGTAAAAACAGTTCCAAATCTACAGATAGTATTTGGGGATTGTCCAATGCCTTAGAGTCTTAATACCCCTGTTCCCGCCTCCACAAAACCCACCTGGGTCAGTTTACTGTATGTACAGGAGGCCCAAATTCAGCCACCCACACTGCCACAGCACTGCCACAGATGGGGAGGCAGGGTGGAGCTACAGGACGAAGGGCTACTTTGGCTGTAGAGTAAAACATGCATGCAACAGAGAAAAGGCGGAGCTTACGAAATGTATATACAGACCCCTTGTGGGAGGGGCCCCGGCCAGGAGGCACTGAGCAGGGAGGGGTCCAACTACCCCCTGGCCGGTAGGGGGGTTCTGGAGCAATCTCTAAGGGTTTTGTATCCCCAGGGAGAGGGGACACAGCTGCCAGCCCTGCCTCTGTTCTCCCATCCCAAACTGGAGGGATGCTGAGCAAGAAGAGGGCAGGGTTCCAAAAGCCAAAAAGGTGTCAACACCCCTGTCCTTGAATTCAGGGGCCTCTTTGCATAAAATATCTTCAGACCTAGGAGATGGTCAAAGGCACAAAGTTTAAACACTAGGGCAGAGGGGGACTGAGAGGGGTCAGGGGTACCCTGAAGCCCAGGGTGGACCAGAGGTGTGATTTGTTTCCGCTTCCCCAGAAGGCTGATAGCTTCGCTGGGCTTATCACCACAGGGCGTGTTCCATTACAAGCACCTGCCTTCTTGAGGAAGGGAACATCAGATTGGCACAGGAAAGGCCCAGGCAAGGAGGCCACTCTGTACATTAATACTTTGGTGAGGTTTGGGGAGAAGCAGGGCTCTACCCCAGGCTCCTGACAAATCCTCCCTCAGCTGGATACTAAACCCAGAGTCCACACTACACCCAGCTCCTACCCAAGGCCAAGCCCCACAGAACACTCCCAAGTGAGTTCCTGAGAGTTGGGAAGGAAGGTGGAGGGGGTTGGAGAGCATCTTCTGGGAGAGAGGCTGGGAAGGATCACAGTTTCCGCTCCACAGGTTGCTGTAGACATAGTTCGCTGCCCGCAGAGATGATGGGCAAATGATTGTCCATGTGATAGCTGATGAGATGACTGACACTCTCAAAGCGGTGATCCTTTGTCCGAACCTGTGAAGGAAAAGGGTCAGTTCAATGAAGAGTCCAGGAGACCTCTGCCCACAAGGTTGTAGAAGATGGAACAGTCAACAGGTCTGAGAAAGGAGAAGATGGGGGGAGGGAGCAGAAAAGATGTCACCCCGAATCATTAAGGCTTTTCTACAAAGAAATGGATGGATGGGAATGCTTAGGTCAATTAATTGGGAAAAGGTGAAGGGGACACCACTCCACAAATCGTGAAGCTGAAGGACCTGGAGGAAGTTGGCATGTCTCAGAGGAGGATATACCATACAAAAAAAAAGCTGAGATTGCTGTAGAAAAGAAACCAAAGCTTTGAGGAGAAGGGGGACAATGGACTGAGCACTGAGTCCACAGGGAGCTGGGAAGGTCCCTAGCTCCTCTTACAAGAGGAAACTTGGCATCTAGCGTCTACCATCTAACACTGGACATCACAACCACTCCAGGGTGGTTTCCCTGCAGGGGCTGGGGGTATAGCTCTGTTGGCAGAATGCTTGCCTCACATACACAAGGCCCTGGGTTTGATCCCCACACCACAAAATAAAAAAGAAAAGAGGGGTGCAGATAAGTATTTTCTAGCTCTGACAGGCTTATGATCTGAGGATTTGAGGACTGGCCAAGACTGGAAGAACACAGCTCAGACTTAAGGACATGAGAAAGGACGGAACTCTAAGCCACAGGAGAGGGATGCCAGACACCTAGAGGAGCAGGGGAGGTCCACAGTGAGCTGCCAGCCGGGAAAGCACTAGAAAGCAATGAGGGAAGAAAGGAACAGGAATGCACGGAAGGACACTGTATCTCCCTTCTGCCCCACCCCGTACAATTCTGCCACACTCACCACACCCTCAGGATCCACCAGAAGCAGGTGCTTGGGCTGCCCACTCTGCAGGCCAGTGAGCACGTACTGGCCAGGTGTGGTCGTGCTCTCTCGCACCAGGAAGTCCCCGTTGAGCTGAAGCAGCGCCTCTGCCTCCCGCCGATTCAGCTTCCCATGGAACCAGGGCTCCCCTCGGAGCTGTTCAGCCATGGACATGGACTGGGGTTGGGGAGGTACCCGAAGGGCGTCTTCAAAGGGTTCTAGAGGATAGAGAGAGGGTTAGGGTAGGTGGCTAGCCCAGCACTCACCTGGACCTAGACTGTCAGGAAAGGAAGCAAGAAAGCAGAGAGTGGATTGGCAGAAGAGGAGCACTCCAGCAGGAAGGTAGGGGATACAAAAACAGATACACTCACTCATATCAAAGAGGTCCCGGGGTACACTGCCATTGACAGCAGGATTGGGGGGCCCAGCCCCACCCCCTGCTTGCCGGGCCTTGTCTAGGTTCTGCACATTGACATAGGAGGGATCATCGAAGAGCTCTCTACCTGCTGAGGAAAGGGAGGCTCAATGTGACCCTGCCCTGCTCTTACACCCTTGGCTCTGCCCTCCTCAACCCCCCCTTTGTACCTGGGCAGGGGGGTGGAAGTGGTATCTGTTTGCGGACTTCTGGGTCTCCCCCGGCAGACTGTCCGACAGGCTGCAGGGATAAAAATCAAGTGAGATCAGAGATCCTCACTCCTACTTGAGCCCAGGCGCCTCCATCCAAATAACTTACCAGTGTAGCTCCCAGGTGGCTAGAGGTCTGGACACTGGGTGGAGTGGGGCGAGCAACTCCTGAAGGGGCTCCTTCCCGAAGCCTCATGTCTACCACCCCCCCTAGAGGGGGCTCCTTCCCCGGAAAGTCATTATAGTACTGATGGTCGGGTGGCTCTTCCTCCTCCTCATCCCAGGCGGAGCCATCAAAACCAGCCATCCTGAGAGAGACAGGACAGAGTGAGGAGACGGGTGTAAATGTGTGGTGCCTGGGGAGCCACACTAGGATAACAGAACAGTGGCCACATATTGGGCATTTACTGTGGGTTGTGCCTAAGGTTGGGTGTTATAAACCCCATCATTTCATCCTCCTGGCAACCCTGTAACCTGATACATCTCCTTCCCTAACTCTGCAAAATGAGGAAAATGAGAATCAGAGGTGAAAAGATTTCCCTGAGGACTCACAACTAAGAGGGAGTACAGCAGAGATTTAAATTCTGATGTTTTTTAAATTATTATTTGTTTAAATTCAGGTTTGACTATAAAGCAAGTTTGAATATTAAGCTATGCCCTCGATTATTACAGTGTCTCCCAGGAGAGAGGGGAAGCACTGTGTAGCAGGGTGGGGCTGCTCCAAAATGGTTCAACCTCTCCAAAAACAACCTACTGGCCTCCTGCTAATCCCATGGAGCCTGATGCAGGAAAGGCAGGGATCTCAAAAAAGGAGAAAGAGCCTCCCAGTCCAAACTCTTTTTTTTTTTTTTTTTTTTTAAAGAGAGAGTGAGAGAGAGAGAGGGGGACAGAGAGACAGAGAATTTTAACATTTTATTTAGTTCTCGGCGGACACAACAACATCATTTGTATGTGGTGCTGAGGATCGAACCCGGGCCGCACGCACACTAGGCGAGCGCGCTACCGATTGAGCCACATCCCCAGCCCCCCAGTCCAAACTCTTGGTGGCTGTTAGAGGCAGAAAACAAAGGATGGAGAGGCAGGCAATGATGGGGATGGGCCAGAAGCAAGGAGACTGGAAAGAGAGAAGTCCACCACAGAGAAAGAGATGCCGTTGGGAGGAGCGGAAACGTAGCACCACCATGGGAAAGAGGAGGCAGACTGGTCTTACAGCAGCCAAGGCCTCAAAAGACTTTCCTGAGGGGCCACCAGAAACATAAGAATGGCAGGAAGTGCGAAGCAGGGGCCACAGGTTATTTCCTTCCCTGAACCTTTCAGAGCTCAAGTGTGGGAGGAGCAGACCCACTTTTCCATTCGCAGTCTGGGGCCCGCTGGCTCACCTGTCATGAGGGGTGACCAGCTTGGGTGGGTTCCTGAGGTATTGTTTGAAGCGCAACTCGAAGGCCTGGCCAATAGTGCTGATGACATCCTGGGCGAGCCCTTCTGGACACTCCAGTATGTGACAGGCTGGGGGCACGGCAGAGGCCATCAGTGAGCTCGAAGGAGGTGTGGACAGGGCCCCCATCCTCCCAGCAGAGCCCCTATCAGTTCCTCTTAGTCAGAGCACAAAAGGATAACCCCAGGTCCTGCTCACCTTCCTTACTGACAGCCGGCCCCACCCAGTGCTCCCCACCACGCCTCACCTCTCTGATTCACAGGGTCTTTGGCAACATAGGCGACATACTCGGCTGTGTCCTGGGGTGGACAGAGTCAGAAGAAGCTAGTTAGCTAAATGTTACAACTCCATCCTGGCCCTAAGATTCAGTCCTTTTCAGATATTCCCACAATTCTAGCACCCCACTTCTCGAGCCAATGCCTTCCCAATCCCTAGCCCTTTACTTTTCTCCCCCAACCTTTACTCTGTTCCCCAACTCACCGGATCCCCGCCGGACGCAAATGAGATAGACTGCATGTGGTGGTTGGCAATGATCTGAGGGTTAGGGCAGGGGACGGAGGAGGAAGGGAACGACGTGTCAGGCAGCCTCAGGACTCTCAGTGCCCGTACCCCTGGCCCAGAACCCTGGAGTCCAAGTCTCTTTCTCTTGGCTTCTTACCCCATGTCCTCCTAATTTCTTCCTTTCCTACAATCCTGCTGCCTCCACATCCTCTCACCTAGTTTTGGTCTCATCCCTAGATCTCCCTTGGCCCTCCCCTCAGTGTTTCTGGTCCCCCTGCTCCACATCACCAACCTGTTTGCAGTCTGCGGCCATGAGATTGAGGCTGCTGGTGGAGACGGTGAGAGTGATTGGCATTCCAGCAAATTTCAGGTTACTCCTCCCCAGGATAGAGCTGAGTGGGCGGCTGCAGGGCTAGGGAAGGGCCCAGAGTCTCAGAGGGCACCCACACCAGGAGAGCAAACTCCTGCCTCAGCCTTCTCCCACACGTTCTGCCCCTCCACGTCTCCCAGCCCCGCTGACCCCACATACCTTTCTCCTCCTTGTTGCCCCCTTAGCACCCGGCACAGCCTCACACACCAGACTGATGGCCTCCCTGGGGAAAGAGGGGTACTCAGACCCACAGCATGCCTCCCATCCAGCTGGGGCTGCCATGGGGCTGGGGGAGGGGAAAGCCAGGCCAGACTCCCAGGGCACTCCAGGCTCTTTGTCGTGGTGGATTGAATTAAGGGCCTTTAATATTTGATGACACTGAAGGCCGCTTCCTGGCTGATTGAGTTAGAACCTCAATGGGTATCACCCCACCTCTTCCCAGCTACCAAATGTCCCATTCCCTAGCCAAAGGCAGCAGCAACCTTCCATCAATTTCCATTTTCTACTTCAACTCAACCAACTGTTTCTGCCACCTTCCCCACAACCCCCAAGACTAGGTAGGTAAGGAGGTGCCATGCCAGAGTTGCCTCTTCGCATTCAGACTTAACTCCCCTAACTTTCCCTCAATCCTTTTCACCACCCGAAGCCACCACTAACACCACCACCAAGTGTCCCCCTTCCCGTGGCCTCACAATCCTAGGACTTCCACAATGCACGCCACTCCCCACTAACCTGGTGACCTGAGTCCGGGTATTGAAGTCAAGGGCACGCATCGACTGCAGGACCTCCACACAGCCCATGTACTAAGGGACGGAGGGGAGGACCACAGGTCAGCAGCCTCCCCACCCCCTTCCCACAGAGCCCTAAGGCTTTCCTACATAATCCTAAGGGAAGTGAGGCTGAAGTAGTCTGCCCACTACCTATGGTTACAACCCACCAAGCACAATCCACAGAAAACATGGAGAAAGAGAAAGGGCCAAGCTAGGAGGGCCTCATGCACTGGGGAATCCGGAGGGCAGTGACAGGACTGGGTGGGATGCTTTGACATCTCTAGAAAAGGAGAGGAGTCTGGAGAGGAGAATCAAGAAGTCACTCATTCCGACACTGAGAGCCTCTTGATGTGCCAGGCATTGTGCTAAGCAGGGTGGGGACAGTGGGGGGGGGCAGTGTCCAAAGAAGAAAGGGGACCCTGGCAGAAATTTTCCCAGATGGGAAGGGAAGGGGAAGAGAATCAGAGAAGGGGCAAGAAAGGTTTCCGAAACAGAGGGGGCTGGTGGAGAAGAGGAAGGGAGCCCAGCACAGCTGGAGTGAGCAGAGGAACCGCAGGGGGTATGGGAGGGAGTGGAAGGGAGGATGTTCACTCACCCGAACCAAGTAGGAAACCCCAGGTCCCATGACTTTGTCGTTGGGATGCAGCCAGCCCCTCGTGGGCTTATTGACAAAGCTCCCGTGGCGGGTCCACTCCTCGCCCCCCAGCTGGCCCCCTTCCACCCGAGTCCTGCGCCCGCCGCCTCCACTCAGCTTGTTCATGTCCTGGAGGAGGGGCAGGGGGCCTGAGTCTGGCATGGCTGCTCCTGTGATCCCCTCCCCATCCTCGGCTGCCCTTCCAGTCTCCCCCTTAGGCCCCAGGCGTCCCCCAGCCGGGTTGGCCAGCTTCAGGTTGCTCATCCGGGGAAAGAAGGAGCACAGGGTAGTGGGACTGTCGTCCCCAGGCAGAGGAGGCAGGATGGGCCCCAGAGACGAAGCTGATGGGGAAGGTAGCTCCTCCGGGGGGGTGGACCCTGAAGCCCCCTCCTCCAGCGATGACAGAGACTCATTCCGAAGTGGGTTGTACTTGGGCTTGGGGGGAAGGAGATCCATGGCTGGAGTTAGAGGGGGGCTGCTGCCCAGCCCGGCCCCCCTGCCAGTTCAGGCAAGGGGGCCAGGCAGGGGGCATTCCCAGGCCCTTAGCCTGGCTGAACCTCTATGGCCCAGGAGTCACAGGGGTCCTGGGGCAGGAGAAGGACAAGTGATTTCCATTCCCCCAGGTCAGACCCAGACGGTTTCGGGGCCCATCCCCACCAGCGTGGAACCTCTTCTCTGGCTAGGAGGAGAATAGGCTGGACCCGGAGCAGCCTGGCTCCTCCCCAGAGGCGGGGAACTAAGGAGAGAGACCAATCCCAAGGACAGTGCTGACTCACAGGCTCAGAGGGGCTGAGCTCCCCCAACCACCGCCCCAACCTAGAACTCCTGCTAGGGTAAAGCTAGCGACACCCTTCCCCTGCCCAGTGTAGGGCAGCAACTAGTAATCTGGAGAGGAGGAAAGTGGAGGTGGAAGGGAAAGATGGAGGAGTAGGGAGGAAAGGAAGGAGATAAGAGGAGGTCTGGATCAATCCAAACCGGACATGGGCAGGCAAAAGAGATCAGGAAACCAGGGGAGGCTAGCCGGGAATGAGGGAGGAAACAGACAGCTGGGGGTGGAAAGGGAGGGGATCCCGGGACTCAGCATTTCCCTTCCTGTCCAGGTTGAACACACACATTCCCCCATCCTCCAGCCCAGGCCACTTCCCACCACTACCATATACAGGGGGGTAGTGGCCCCGGGGAGCCTGGGCCATTAACATCCTTTGCAACAACAGCTGTGGACTGGGGAGAGGGAGAGGGAAACGGGGACAGGAAGGAAGTGGTCCCAGTGGATGCAGCATGGGCCTAGCGGGTGGGCAAGGCTGGTGAAGTAAGTGAAATAAAGTCCAACCTGGGTGGTGCCTCAGGGAGCTACAAGGCAAGAACTCCAACAAGAGGATATATTCAAGCCTCTTTCTCCATGCATGGCGCCTACCAACCAAGGAACAATGGCCCATTTCCAAGGGACCATTAGCAAAGTAAAATAATAAAGGTAAGAAAGGAGGATCAGAGCACTAAGAGTAAGGTAAACCCGTTGGGCCTGCCAGGTACACCCAGACCCCCCCTCTTGCAGGGCTTTCAACCTCACCAAAGTGTCCCTCACACTAGGGGAGAGGTCTGGCAAGGGAAGGTGGGAGAATGAAAGTTCCCAAAGAGAAATGCAGGCTACAGACCACTATAGATAGAGTGGTTGCAAGACAAATCTGTGTCAATAAGGACAGGAGAAAGGGGTGCCAAAAGATGAGCTGAGGCTGGACTCAAGGAACAGTCCCAAGCCTATTCCTGCCACCCACAACTTCCTGCCGCAGTTCTGCTTGAGGCCATAAAGGAAGTTGGAAAGTAACCAAAATACAAGTAGTAAAAGATACATCTTCCCCCAGGCTCATCTCAGCATAACCCTTAGGTTTGCTTCAGAGGATTAAAACAATCTATAAGAGTGAAATGATTAACACTAGCAGCACTTAAGGTATGTACCTTAACTCTCTCCACTTCCCTCAGTTCTCATCCCCGAGAGCCATGTCACTGCATTCCCCCATTCCTGAGAAGGAATTCTATTTGCTAAGGCCTCGGCTCTCAAACAGAGAATGAGGGAGGATTCTGCCATGGCTTCATGCTTCCAACACACACACAACCAGTATCCTCATCTTTAGAGATGAAGTGCTGTGTGAGACTGCAAGATCCAGAGATGGGAATGACCCAAAAGGTGTGGCCACTAGGAGGAAAAAAGGATGACTCCTGAAATTTGCACAGGGAGAAAGAAGATTGCCTGCTGGAGGTCCAGGCGATTGGGTATGTGAGGCAAAAAGCGCTTGTTGCTTCTCAGGCCAGCAGAGAGGAGGAAGGAGGGCGGGAAGTAGCAGGAAATGGCGAGGGCCTCTGGAATGTCTCCAGCTAGGAAGGCTGCAAACGGAGCCAGGATCAGAACCCGAATGCCCAGACCACAGCTTTGCCCAGGGGGAGGGGAAGACCCAGAGAAGGGGGACTGAGGGGTCCCTTAAAAACCACGAAATGGACACTAGTCGCTTCTCCGGGCTCCAAACCACCATTCCCGGGTGGAGGGAAACTTTGGCTCCCGTTGGCCCGAAAGGCCGCCACCAACAACCCGCCGCCCCACCCCGCCTCGGGCAGGAAGACCTCAGCGGTTTGCTGGTCCTAGGAAGGAAAATTCTGAGCAAGTGTCTCTCCCACTCTCCTACCAAACCCCAAGTCCAGCGCCCCTCCAGTGGACCCACACCTGGAGGTAATCTACTTGAAGGTAAGGGCAGAGAAGCCGGCCGCCTCTAGTCTCCCTCCCAGCCGGGATGGGGACTTCGACTTTCCACCTGGAGGAGCACGAGCGTCAGGAAACTGAGCCCGAGGCCCAGAGAGAGGAAGGACAGGGCAGTGTAAGCGGGAGACTGAGACAAGCTCTGCAGGCGACGACCTGGGTCCCCAGGGATCAATCTCTTAAGGGGGCGTGGGCCCCTAGACGCGCGCCTCGGACTTCCAGGCAGCCGAGCTTCGGGACGGTCGGACGTGGACTACGGAAGGGGCGGAGCCCCCGGAGGGGGCGGAACCCCCGAGTCACAGCTTCAGGAAGGTAATCCTTTGAGGAGCAAGCCTTTGCCCTCTCGGAACCTAGGCTTTGACAGACAGGACTTAGCGGAGAGTCGCTGTGAAGAGGCGGAGTTTTGGAGAAGTGGACGGACTAAAGAAGGGTTTCTTGTAGTAGGGCTTAGCAGCATGCCTGGGGGTGGGACTTCCAGGAAAGCTGGACGACAGGGTGGAGTCACGACAATAAAAGACAAGTCGGGGTTCGGGGAGACCCCAGAAGTTGGGAGGTGGGACTTCCGGGGAGGGGGTCTCAGGAGGCGGGGCTTACAAATGACGACCGGAAGTGGGGTCCCGGGAGAGGGGTTCCGGGGTGGAGGAGTGGGTCGCCTAACGAGTAAAAAAGTCAAGACTCACCAGGGCCTCATGGAGTCTCCGCACCGCACCGCGGGCCAGTCTGGTTGCGGATCACGCCACTGCCTGCTTAAGTCGCCGCTCTAACTTTCTCCCCTGCCCGGCCTCCCCGGAGAAACTTTATTACACTCACTTCCGGCCTCACTAACCCTTGACCCTCTACCTCACGGTCCCTCCTCACCCGTCCCACTTTCCCGAACCAGCCAATGGCAGCGCGAGAATGCTCATGGAGCAGTGATAGCCAATAAGATGCCTATTTTTGACCCAAGCTTGTTCTTCGGGAACGTGAGAATTGTACTCCAATAAGAACTCGAGGAGAAGCAAAATAAGCCAATAGGAGGCTTCAAGGTGGAGTTGTCCCGCCTTAAGCCAAACGGACCAATAGGAAGTGCGGGCGGTGTGTTTGAAAGCGAGGCCAAAGAGGGTGGGAGCGCGTGCTGCTGGGAGTTGTTTAGAGGTTGGCGGCGCGGTGTTGGAGGCCCGCAGGCAGAGCGATCATGTCGCACAAACAAATTTACTATTCGGACAAATACGACGACGAGGAATTCGAGTACCGGTTAGTGCCCGCGCGGGAGCCGTTAGCGAGGTCGTGAGCCTTGACAAATGAGGGCCCGAGGAGTTAGTCACTTACTGAGGCGACAAAATCGGCGCATGCGCGTGAGATTAACGGGATGGGTGTGCGATTGGAAGTGTAAGGCGCGTGCGCGAAGGGTGGGGGGCTATCCTACAACAATGAAGTGGAATTTGAAATCAGCCCTCTGTTAATTGCTAGCGTGGTTAGAGCGCTGACGGCCTTCACCTTCGGGGCTTCTGGGTCGTTCTCACGATTTTATTGGGCAAGTGGTTGTTAGACACCGTTCCTAATTGCACGTATCGCAGTCATTCCAAGTACCTAACGAGAGAAGCTGACAAAAGCGGAGCTGGAATTTCGTCCTCAGTGCTTGCGGAGTTATGAGAGAATTTGAGTGTTGTTTATTCACGGAAAAGGAAAGGGGTGTGGTTGTCTGGCTTGTGTTAGGAAGGGGACTTAGAAGAACTGAGGGGAACAAAAATGGGCGAAGAACACAGCAAGTACCTAGTATGGGCCTAGTAGATGCCCTTCACTTGAACAATTATGGAGCGCTTAAAGGTTTCAGGTGTGCTAAAGTGCAAGGGTAAGACATGGTCTCTGCTCACAAACCTAAAGATCTGGAGGCTACCGACAAACTCCATGCTGTGTTGGAGCTCCGGACAAGGTGTGGTGGTGGTGGTGGTGGTATACAGAACTTTCCAAGAAGAGGGAAGGCAGCTAACTGCCTTGGATGAGAATAGGAACGTAGAATTAGGAAAAGGAAAGTACCTCTTGACCGAAAGGCTTAGAAGATACTGGATATCCATCTGCCAAGGATGGTGAAGAAGATAGCCTTACATTGGATGCAGCATTTGGATTTGATAAAATCTAAGTCTATAATAATTCTGCATTGGAAAATGAAGAAAGACAAAGGATTCTACAAATGTTGGCATTATACCAATCTGTATTCATTGTAATACTTAAAACAACTTCCTCCACCAGTAGTGCACACCTGTAATCCCAGCTTCTTGGGAAGCTGAGGCAGGGGGCATTCACAGTTTACTGAGAAAGAAAATTCTGTAAATTAGTGAAATCTTGTCTCAAAAAATAAAAAGGACTGAGGATATTGCTCAGTGGTAAGGTGCCTCTGGGTTCAATCCCCAGTACAAAATAAATAAATACAACTTCCTAGTTTGTATCTTAGCCCCTTCTCAATTTTAGAGCAGAAAGTGAAAATCTGCTCTTTTCACCCAGCCTAGTTTAGGGCTTTGGACACTTGAGGAATTATGAGAGAGTTTGAGTGTTGTTTGGTATTTGTTGAAAAATACATAACCATCTTTATGCCCCCCCCCCCAAAAAAAAAAATCTTGAACCCAGTTAACTTTGTCATTCTCAGCGCTTTCTACATCCGAACTATTAAATAAACTCTGTGCCAGGCATGGTGATACACACCCAAAATCCCAGTGATTAAGGAGAATGAAGCAGGAGGACTGCAAGTTCTAGCTCAGCCTGGGCAACTTAGCAAGATTCTGTCTCAAAATGAAAATAAAAAGGGCTGGGCATGTAGTTCAATGGTAAAGTATCCCTGGGTTCAATCCCCAGTATTACACACACACACACACACACACACACAAAAGGTTATAGCAAAATATTTGCACAGCTAGGAATAAATCACTAATTTCATCCCCCAAAAGATGTAACTCTTAGCAGCTTAGCTGTGGCATTTTGGTTTAAGTTTTTTTTGTCTATATAATCAATTGCTATACCATCTGAGCTACACCCTCAACCCTGCCTTTTGGGGGAAAAACTCTTATTAGTAGTACAGAGGGAGCACTTAGACTCAACATGCTTAATGAAAATGTGTTATCTAGTTTAATCTGATTCAGATCAGAATAATAAATTTCTTTGCATAAAGAGAGATACCTTTGGTCTGGAAAGCATGGAGTTCCCCAAATCTGATGGCATATCCCTTCAGAGTTAGGAAAATTAGTGTTTACATTTTATTCATTATGATGACTCTTCTACACAACACTTTATGACAGCCCTTTCTTCTCCACAAAGTAACTTCTGTCCCTTCCTTGCCAATCCTGCTTAAAACCCACCTGTAGCTATTAACACTGTACTCTTGTGGGACTCCCATTGTATTGTGGGTAATCAACAGAAGACTATAAGGACCGTGAAGGCAGAAAATACCTCTCAACAGTGCCTGGAAATTAGGTGCTTACAATGGTCTGTCCATCTACAACTAAAAAAAAAAAAATACAAATTAAAAAAAATTATTTTCTTCCTTGTCTTTGTATACATGCACTTCTCTGACAAACTGTACCCAGTACTAACACTAATTCCCCATTTCCCCATATTTCTGTTACAGGCATGTCATGTTGCCCAAGGACATAGCCAAACTGGTCCCTAAAACCCATTTGATGTCTGAATCTGAATGGAGGAATCTTGGAGTTCAGCAGAGTCAGGGATGGGTTCATTATATG